CTGCTGAAAGTGCAGCACACTGCAGAAAAATGAGGTGCAGGAATGATCAAAGCCCTTGGAAGAGGTGGAAGTTTAAAAAGATACTTTGAAAATACTGGCACCTACAAAACAGAGGATTAGTTAGAATTTTCAAAATTGGGCTCTGACACAGCATGTAATTTAAAACAGACACTTCTAGGTGTCACACTGTTTAGTTCTTCACTCAACCAGCAGAATCAGGGATTTTCAGACAGCTAGCCTAAGAAAACAACCACAAAACAAGGTTTCAGTTTTGCTTCACTGTTTTTCTCCGGTCCTTTGCACATTCAGCCTTTTTTGTCCAAGAAACAGGAAGGTAAACACACTCTTACAGCAGCATTCACAGCTGCAGACCTTACTCCACAGTTTCTGAGAAACTGGTCACCACAGAAACAGTGCCTTAACATACGGCAGCTTTCACCAGCAACATTATCTTGTTGGCTACTGCCTTTCTGATGGAGGCAGCATTCCCACAGCTCAGCTAGCAACACAGGTACCCCCAGTGCTCCAGGCAGCAACAGCCATGGGGGAACGAGTGCTGCAGGAGGTCTGAGCCAACTCACCTCACTTCACACTGAAGCAGCTTTGGAATGCTCATATAATCTGCTCTTCTAGCAAAGACCACGTGAGAGCTGATATTTCTGGGAAGAGGCAGCAGCACATACCTGGCAGGGGAAGGTTTCCTCAGTTGCCACTACCATTTTTCCTGTGATCATCTTACCAGTGGAGAGCATTAACCTCCACTGCCTGTCAGCACACACGAACAGAGGATGTAAAGTGATGCTTCAAGTACATGACTAATCCGGGATATATATACACCACAGTGCTAGACAGCCTCATTACCCACAGCTGCTCTCACTTCTGCTCCTGCTGTCACATACACATCAGCAGACCCACAAGGTCCACGATGGCCTGAGAAGCAGCAGCGAGAACAATGCAGGTTTATACAGCACTGACTGCAAACATTGACTAGCTGTGCAAACCAAACATCATCACACAAACCAGTTTCTATTTAAAGCTAATGGTGTTTATAAAAGTATCTCAGTTCTTCCTGGAACTATATTTCTTGTTAAGGTCTCGTGGTGTTTACTTTGGAAGTGTTTTTACTAAAAGCCATTCTCACATAACACTCTTTAAAACATAATTCAATAACCAAACATTAAACTACACAAACACTGCTCTAAACCTCACAGTTTGTTCAAGTCAAAACCTTTTTAATAAGTCTGAGCTTTATCTCAAGGCTTATATTCTGTGGTTTTGCATTATGGCATAGAGCTGTACTATCTAGGAATTCATGTTACTAGTGCTGCTATGTTTTGATCCTTTTATCTGTAATACCCATTACAGCTTTCCCAGGTCTAAGCAGCAAGGAGAGTCAGACTGCACTGAACCAGGCCTACAAGCCTGCATTAACACACACAACCTGTAATTTACACTACCCACTCCAAACCACTTGGAAAATTTATTCCATTTTTAATCAGCCTTGTACTATGTGATTCTAAAGTAAGATAATTCAAAACACTGTCCCTTAATAAATCTGCTCAAATCTCTATGAATTTTTGTGGTTTTTTCCAATGCCTGTTTTGAGTCTTTTTCTTTCTCTTGCCTTTATACTGAGGAGTCACACGACCAGAAGGAGCAGGTGACTTGCAAGGACAATCCACTGTGTTGCTGAGCACAGCTCATATGTGATCACAGATAAACAGAAGGGAAAATTCACACCGCAGTGCTGTCAAAACATGACTTCTTTCTTATAAGCACTGCTGGGTTTGGTGGGAAGCCTGAGCAAGGCCCCACAGCTGCCTCAGCTGCTGTCAGCATTAACTGATCCCAAAGAGCTGAGCAATTGCAATGCTCTAGTTTGCAAAAGAAGAGACAGATGGAGCATCTCCAACCATTTCTGACTTGCTGTTTCAGCTTACACACAGCCCTCTGCACCTCTTTAGCACAGGACAGGGGAGCAGTCACTGCCCTAGAACACAAGTCCCAGCTTCTCTTACAGAGAACCATTAAAGCAAGAATGACCCAGCTCCTCCTGGTAAATACTGTAGCAGGTTACAGAACTACTGTGTTTTCCAAACACCCAACTGATCCCTGTGAAGTAAATGTCTATTCCCATCTGCACCGCACACTGGCAAGAAAACAGGTTTAGCTAGTCAAGGCAAGAGCTGCCATAAAAAACAAGACTAAAAACCTCAGAGATGTCTCAACTCACTGTCTACCTTTGAGAACCTTGTCTTACCAAAGACAGATCTTCTAATGAGAAGCCTTTACCGCAGATCCCCTCCGCAAGGTCATTCCTGCGAACAGCGTGGCACAAATCCCATTCAGTTTGCCTGCAAGCACAGCTGGGATAATGTTCGTTAGCCTGAGACTGCTAGAGAGCAACAATGCAAAATTCATGAAGCAAACAGGAGAGTTCGTCTGCCCCAGCTCAGACTAGGAAGCATTTGAGACTCAAACTCTGTGCAAGGAAACAAACGGTTTTTAGAGCTGCAAGCAGTGAAGCACAGGAACGACCCTTCCGAGTCAAGCCCACACTTCTGCCAAACCTGCACACAAACACTATGTTACAGTCCCCCAAACACGGGGGTATAAAAAGGAGAGAAAAGGAACTTTCAAGACAACTTCAAAATGTCCTTCCACTGCCATTGATTGCCCTGTCATTCCAACCGGCTTCAAACACACGGAACCATTACCTATCGCTGACTTTTTGTGAGCCTTTGCTCAGTATTCCACGTTCATTAACCCCACGCTTTATGCGTATTGAGGCAT